AGATATTTAGAAAGTGGACACTTTATTGGACCCTTACTGAGCCAATGAATAACAAAAAGAGCAAAGAGCACTTTGAGAGAGACTGTGACGGCTTCTTTGTTGATCCTCTGCTGAATTCCTGGTCATTCCTTTTTCTTTATTGGTTTTACTGTCTGTGGTTCACCATTTGTGTTGATCCAAGAGGAGGAGGCAGTTTGCCTTATGAAAAGGGGAGAACAGTCACTACTTATTGTTTCTCTAAAAAGCAGAATGGTCTTCAGCACACACACGTTTGGCTGCCTTCCTTGGTGTCACACGTGTGGGGCCCAAGGCTGGATGCTAATAGGCTTCATCACTGCTAATGTATTTGTGGAAAGACTGGCACTAGGATCTTGGATGTACCTCAGTACTTAGGAGAGCATTTTTATAGTACAGGTTGTGTGGAACTAGAGGATTGAACACCTTTCTTAAAGTTCTTTAGCCTTCTTTTGTTATAGAAAACCATGGGGCATGCTTGCTAGTTTTGGAAAGCTTTTACAGCTGAAGAAGGCTTGAGAGCTTTGGTTTTGAAACCTCATTACTTGTTTGTGTCTGAAAATCCATCTCATGAAAGTAGCCAGCAGACTCTTCTGAAAACTTGTGAGGTTTTGACGAGGGCACCTGACTCGTCTCACAATTACAAAGACTTTACAGGTGCAATTACATTTAGGCCATCTGGTTTTACTGAATTGAATTTTATTAAATTCCCACTGCAGAGAAGAGGAGTGTGAAAGCAAAACCCAGGTGAACAGGCATTATGGATTTTTATAGGAGTTGGAAGAAATGCCTACTGAGTATTCAGTCCTTCTGACTTTCTGAATATGGCAAAAGATAAGCATTCTTTCCGCAAATCCAGAGTGCACCTTAAACTCACCAATTCTCCAAAACCTACTGCGTTATCCATCATTACTGAAAGCTGTTGGTACCATTTTTGTTAATTTTCTCACATTGCAAATGTGGATCATGATCCACATTGGCGGAAAATTGTCAAAAATAAGAAATATTATTAACAGCACATCTTTCTTTCTGCTGCTCATTATCAACCTCTAGCTTCCTTCACAAAGTGTCTGTTTGTTCAAAAGCCTATTTGTCTGCTGCTCCTGCATTTTGAGATACTTTTCAGCTTCCCCAACTTTAATTTGAAGGTTAATGCTAGTAAGAGTTCTGGAGTTAAGAAAAAGCTGAAGACTGTGTGATAGTAGAAGAGCTTTACAGCACAAGGGTATGGTAAGAAGAATGTGAAATTGGAAGCAAATGAAAGATAAGAGTAAGGTGTGATAATTAAAGGAGAACTTAAAAATAAATGGGATTTTATGCAGGCAGGTAGCAGTTAAAGTTTCCAGGATGAAGTGGTGAGAGTTTGTGTGTCTCAGAAGACTTTAAACTGATGGTGTCTGCATTATAATGACTTTTAGATGTCCTCAAGGTTTGCTGGATGTTCCAAATTTCAGTCCTGTTTCTTGCAAACTTATTCCTAAATTTGCTAAATTATTTTCATTTGGTAAATCACGGATGTGGATTGTGTTTCTTTCAGGGTTGTTCAAATGGAATCAGTTAATCACTAGGCTACTGAGAAACCTCTTATGATTGTATTTCTGTGATAGTTACACTAAACAAGGCACTCCATATTTAGATTTCTAGGATTATTTGCTTTGCTAGACACAACAAAAGCATTAGCACATGATTCATCTTCAGATTTGTGAGCTTGGGAAGACTTTCTGCAATGGCTCTCAAATTGTTGAGCTCCTATGTAACACTTTAGGCCCAGTAAATGTTTCCTAACAGGAAACTTCTCTGCAGGGTTGTGGTTTAAGCCCAGCTAGTATTTGATCACTGCACAGCCAGTCACTCAATCGACTTGGAAGGGTGGTAGTGTGAAAACTCGTGGGTTTGAGATCATGACAGTTTAATAGGTAAAGCAAAAGTTGCACTTGTGAGTGAAGCAAAACTAATTCATCCCTCATTTTGCAGGGGCAGGGAGATGTTCTGCCATCTCCAGAAAAGCAGATCTCCACCATCCACTAACAGTGTCTTGGGAAGACAAGTGCTGTATACGCTGAATGTCCCGCCCCTTCCTTCTTCTTTCCCCAGCTTTGCATGCTGAGTGTGACACCATATGGCCAGGGGTGTTCTTGTGGTCAGTAGGGGTCAGCTGTCATGGCTTTGTTCCCTTCGAGCTCCTTGTGCACCCCCAGCCTCCTCACTGGTGGGGCAGTATGGGATGCAGAAAAGCCCTTGACATAGTGCAGGTGCTGCTCAGCACCAGTGAGAACTTTCCTTTGTTACCAACCGTGCCTTCAGCACAGATGCAAAACACAGCAATACCAGGTACTGTGACAGAGTTTAACTCTCTCCCAGCCCAGACCACTGCAACAGAGCGAGTCAAACATTGATTATGGGGCGAATATTTGTTTGAAACACTGCAAAGAGAAGGATAAAAAGGTAAAATGTTTTGTCAGTAAGTAAATACTGCAAAATCAATTAGGAGCCTGAAGCCCTGTTGAAGCAGCAGTAGATATTCAGTGATCACTAAGAATGTAGGACCAGTTGTCTTCTCTGAATATTTTAAATATTATTTCTGTTCCACCAGTGGTATTTTAGGCTATTTTTCCTAGGGACACCTGAGCTGTGGAATATTAAATATTTACCAAATATATATAAATGCAACTGATGTGATATTATCTTTTTGGTCCAAGTGATTTAAATAAAAGGGCTGCTTAGACAGAATCTTGTTATATACTAGTATGTTATTTAATGCGTTCAAAACCACCTGTGGGATAAATTCAGTTTTCCTAAGCACAGCATTGTAAGATGTCTTTTTGCGGGTTTGTGGGCAGCTCTGTAATTCTGAACTGGGCATGAAGTTACAGATAGGAAGGTTTAAGCATTTAAGAGTAGGATCCACAAGTCTAAATTATCCAGGAGGAAATCAGAGGAGGGGAAACAGAGTTCAAGCCTGTTCTTGTGCAGAAACAGATGTAAATAGGACTTTGAGCTGTGCTACTTTTCATGCATTTATGTATGAAAGTTGTATCAGCTCTTTCCTGTGCAACACACACAAAAAGGGAACTGGCTATCCCAGTGCACACCACGATCTGCCTTCAGTTCTCCCTCTGCCCAGTTTGGCAGAAGGATTCAGGAAGAAACAGTTTACAACTGCCACTAGCCCAAGAGCATACTCGGAGATGACTGTCTGAGTCTGTCATGTCAAAACTCCTGTCACAGAAAATACTAAGTAGTCATTGGCCAGGGGAAAATTACAAGAAAGTGACTATTTTAGGTTGGCATTTTAGGTACTGAAGCGATACTGAAATTTCAGGGTGATGTCTCTTTGTCAATAAATACTGTAAAATCTCTTCATGCTGTTCTACATCAAATCATTAAATATCCATTGGGGTGGGCATAGAAACTTAACTGCTGTATACCACATGATTAGATGAACCTCTGACTTTGCTACCTCCTGTCCTCACTTAACAAAGGTCACTTAATTTATGCAAAGTGAAGCTGCTTTTCCAAATGAGTTTTGACCTGTTTCGTTGCTGTGTCAGGTTATGAATCTCTGTTCCATTGCACAAAGGTGATGTGTAAGATAAGACACTTTGGGAAGAGCAGCTAGAAAAGTAAATGTACAGTAATGCTCTCTTACCCATCATAAGGGAAGGAACAAAAGTGACATGCTGATGGGAAGGTGAGATTTTTCCAAATCTTTTGTCCTTTGTCTAAATGGCTTTTTGGTATCCTGTGTGGTACTATTTGGTACCCTCTCACATTCCTCAGAGACAATGTTCTATCTTGCTAAATCATCACCACTGAACTGGAAGAGGTGAGGGGATGAAGATGCAAGGTGCAAGATGCATGTTTAGGAACACACTTAAGAGACTTCTGAGTTTGCAAATCCAGGGTTATGGGAGAAGTGGGAAAATGCCATAGCAACTAGTGCCTCTGAGATGGTACAGAGCAGGTCTTTCCTCTTCTGTGATGGTCTTTAGCTCCATTTTTCAGTTGTCTTCATTTTACTTTCCAACCTCTTTTTACAGGTGTATATTTTGAAACACATCCTGACAAGATCACACCAGCCTTGTGTGAAACCCAGCACAGAAGGTCCTGACTTTCCCCTGGCCTCGGGAAGGGCTCCCGTGGGGCAGGGAGATCCGAGGGGCCGGCAGTGCTCGTGTGGGCAGCAGCGCCGGGAGTATGGCGAGCGCAGGCCGGGCCTGCCGGGCGGGCACAGCAGGGCCGTGGGGCAGATGGAGCATCCAGTACGGAAATGAGATTTTCACCTGGATGGTGGCACACACACACACACCCCGGCTTCCCCCTCAGGCCAGAGCGCTATGTGGTGTCATTGCAGTGGCAGTGGGAAGCCGTGCTTGGATCCTGAGGGTGGTGTGTCCCAAATCCTTTGAGAAACAGCTTGAGAGCAGTGTGGACCCCACCATCTCCACTGAGAAGGATGCAGCACTTGGGTCACCAGAGCACTGCACTCTGCCTTTCCCTCTGCACGGGCTGGACCCACGGGCTGCACCCACGGGCTCCCCAGACATGGCTGCAGGAAGCTCAGGTCACCCCTGGGCTCTGGCTGCTTCTGTGGAGAGCTCAGGTCACCCTCGGTTTCCTCAAATGTGGCTGCAAAGAGCTTAGTTTTCTTTTGGGCATCACAAGATGATAAAATAGCCACATTTTCAAAGCAGCTCAGCAAGTTGCAAACCCCCAGGTGCAGTGGGCAGGCTGGAGTGTGTGCTATGAGAACATCCCAGACCCCCTGAAAGCCGGCTCGCTTTGTCCGGGCAGAGTCTGGAGCAGAAAGGGACAAGGCCAGCGCCCGCTCCCATGCGTGTCACTGGGCTGCACGGGAGGAGGGAGGTGGAGCTCCAGGGGCAGAGGGGCAGTTCCTCTGGTGTCTGTTTAAAGAGCATGGTGTGGTGTGTGTTTGGGGCCATTTGGAGAGAGCTGCTGCTCCGGGAGGAGGGGCAGTGAAGTTTGCTGAGGCAAGAGCAGCTTTCTGAGCTGAGGCCTCACTCTCACCTGCTGGCATGCCACCCCAAACCCGGGCTCGGCAGAGACTTTTGATCAAAGGGGGAAAAGTTGTGAATGCTGACCTCTCTGTGGTGGCTGATGTGTACGTGGAAGATGGAGTGGTGCAGCAGGTGGGACCAAACCTAAACCCGGAACCCTCGACTGGACTTGTGGTGCTGGATGCCACCAACAAGCTGGTGATCCCTGGGGGCATTGATACTCACACACACATGGAGTTCCCTTTCATGGGTAGCAGGTCAAAAGATGACTTCTACACTGGAACCAAGGTGGGTGCACAAGTGCACGTCTGTGTGTGCATCTGGGCTTTCTCAGTTAGAGGTGCCTGCTGGTTGTCCAGTATTATTTCTAAAAGAGAAAATAGAATGTGAATCAAGCACTGCCAGTTGTTCCTGTCCCTTTGACTGGGACATTGTCATAAAGTAGTTGGGGCACTCAGAGGTCACCCCCAACCAGTATGTTATTTGGGCTCCTCCAGAAACTATTGTGATTGCGGGGATCAAGTGGGGCAGGCATTTACCCTGGCTGTCAGCATGCAGACTACAACCTGCTTTGGTACATGCATCAAGCTTCATACTTTTCTGAGCAAAGGTTAACTAAAGCAACAGTTTAATTCCCTTGTGCTGTTTAAGCACTTCTGTGGTAATCTGAATTTTTTCCTCTGTTAGCATGAGGGAATGAAGCCTTTTCTTCTGTCATTCACTTTGGTGCTTACTGTGTCTCTCAGTGAAAGTCCACTTCAAATACACTTTATGAAAGTACCTAATTTCTCCCAGTTTTACACTTGGAGTGTGGTTTTTTTCAGCTTTTTAGCTGATCTTATTATATTCCCTGAATATGAATAGTGTATCAATTACTCATATTAACAGTATTATGCATCATCTCCATATAGTTTCCATAACCAAAATTTTCAAGGCACTTTTCTAAGAGCTTTGTTGTGCAGACTGAAATCCTTTGTTCACAGAAAGGATTGCATTGCCCTACTTGGCTTGTCTGCTAGCCATCACCTTCACAGAGATTGTTATACCCAGTTCCTCTCACAGGAGAACTGGGGTTTACTAAAAAGCAGAAAATAAGTTTTTAAGGTTTTCTGAGTAACTCTGAGATACTTATAGGTCAGGGAAGCTGCAAAACAGAGGCTGCGTACACAAAACAGGATATCCAGATGCCACTTCGGTGCCTACAAGAAAATTCTAGATCCAGCTTAGCAATGAGATGTCAAAAAGTTAGATATTATGGCTATAGTTAACCCAGGTCAAAGTGTGGAAAGTGTTCATACCTATGCACTGAAGGTCATCCTCTGACAAATATTTTGGCAAGAAATTCAGTGAGAAAGAGTTGTATTCCAGCTATTGCAAAATATGCTACAATGATTAGCTCAGATTTACCCATTCAGTTGAATAAGTAAAGGCTGCTTGCTTTACAGATAGAGGAGGAAAAAGATGTAGGGAATAAAAAGAGACTTCAAGTGGAGTTGTGGAGCCCATGACTTTTTTTTTTTTAAGTCTATAAATTTTATTTAAATCCTGTTTAACAAATAAGTCAATCAGTCTTGATGAAAAATATTTGACAGTTTGAACAACTTTTCCTGGAGAAAATGTTTTGCTCAATTCATTAGAGATTACAAATACTTGTGTCACTCTCCAAACTTCTCTTTTTGCAAAATATACTGACATATTTACAATTATTCTTCGGATTTCTAAGTGAACAGAAGGAAGAAAGAGACTAATTGTCATACAAAAAGGAAGAGTAATATAGCATGAGGGACAGGCTGGATAGTTGGGGCAAGTCCAACAATACAAGGTTTAACAAGTCCAAGTGCAGGGTCCTGCTCTTTGGCCACAACAACCCCCTGCAGCGTTTCAGGCTGGGGACAGAGTGGCTGGACAGTGCCCAGGGGATGTGGGGCTGACAACAGACTGAACGTGAGCCAGGGTGTGCCCAGTGGCCAAGAAGGGCGGTGGCATCCTGGCCTGTGTCAGCACCAGTGTGGCCAGCAGGAGCAGGGAGGTCATTCCTGTACTGGGCACTGGTGAGGCCACACCTGGAGTGCTGTGTCTAGTCCTGGGCCCCTCAATTCAGGAAGAGCATTGAGGTTCTCAAATGCATCCAGAGAAGGGCAGCAAGGCTGGTGAAGGGTCTGGAACACAAGCTCTGTGAGGAGCAGCTGAGGGAGCTGGGGCTGTTCAGCCGGGAGGAGGCTCAGGGGAGACCTCAGGTCTCTGCAGCTCCCTGAAAGGAGGGTGCAGCCGGGTGGGGCTTGGTCCCCCAGGCAACCAGTGACAGCACAAGAGGACACAGTCTTAATCTGCATCAGGGGAAGTTTAGGCTGGACATTAAGACAAAATTCTTCACAGAAGGAATGATTGGGCATTGGAATGGGCTGCCTAGGGAGGTGGTGGAGTCACTGTCCCTGGAGGTGTTTTAAGGATGAGTGGATGTGTCACTTAGTGCCATGGTTTAATGGAGAAGTTGGTGCTAGGTCATAGGTTGGACTTGATTTCAAAGCTTTTTTCAAACCTAGCTAATTCTGTGATTCTCTGATCCTGTGAATTTGACCTGTGCATGTTTTGATCTGAATTGGTTGTTGCTGTTTTGCAAAGGAACATTGTTCAGAGCAATAGACAGGATTTATTTTGCTAATCTGGAAGAAAGTAACAATTTCAACAAAGGAATTTCTGTACTGGATCAATTTCTTTTAGTCAAGGATCTAGCATCTGAGTGACTTTTTTTCCCTCCAAAGTCAAGAAAAGTAATAATTCAGGTGTCCATAAATAAGAGTGGAAATTTTTGGTTAAAAAGCAATTTTTGATAATCATTCACCTGTTAAGTAAGGTTGTAGTTTATTTTATTACTTGACAGCACTTGTGTAGAGAATGTAAATTCCTCATTATTTTTAAAAACCCTCTATACAGTTTTACTAAATGATATTGTGTTTCTAATAACAATATATTTTTAAGCACTTTTGAAATATTTTGGTATTAGACAAGAGTTTGGGGGTTTTCATATTGTATTTTCAAACTCAATGGGGCTTCTTGTTGTTGTTGTGTAGTTGCCCCTTAATACTTGCCTGTCACTCAGGCTTGTTTTTTCCACTACCTAGACTCTGAGGAAGCAGGTCTCAAGTCGACTTTTCTAATGCTCTTCTTCCTCAGTGATTCCACACACTTGAGGAAACTCACTGATGCATAAACACTACAGACACATCTCCAATTCTTTGATAAGTTTTCGTACATGAAGAGAATCTTCTCCTTCAGTGTGAGAATTTCGCTTGCATTCTCAAAACAAATTAAATTAATATCCCTAATAATGTTTTGAGTCTGGACTTTACTCAGGGGAACTCCTCAGTGGCTTTTGGCTTTTCAGTGTATCCAGATTAATTGATGTAAGGGAATTGGAGAGGGTAGGAGGAAATTTGCATTCTTTCTGATTGCTAAATATTAACTTTATTCTTTTCAGGCAGCTATAGCAGGAGGAACCACTATGATCATCGACTTTGCCATCCCTCAGAAAGGTTGTTCTCTTACTGAAGCCTTTGATGCATGGAAAAGCTGGGCAGACCCTAAAGTTTGCTGTGATTATTCATTGCATGTGGCAGTTACCTGGTGGAGCAACAAGGTAGACAGAAAAGCTGATTTTAAATTCCATAAATCTGTGCCACACCTGCTTGGAATGAGTCTTCCATGCTAAATATTGCTTGCTTCCATGCTAAATATTGTTTGTGATTAAATACAATATTTGAAATAGCCCACACCCTTCTGAGAGTATATGTATTTGAAAGAAGTCTGCAGATAGCCTGTATCTCTGGATAATACTGCACAGAGTTAAAGGTAGGGATTGTGCAAGACCAAGACCAGGCAGGTCAGAGGGGGAAAGAGGTGTTTACAATAATTTTGACTTTTGTTGCTTGAACACTTGATATTTTGTGCTTCAGATGAGTTTTGGTGGTTTTAGTTGTTTTTTATATAAGTATATACATAAAAAATATGGTACTTGACTTCATTTGTAGAGGAAGACTTCCTGGGTGGCTGCACTAAAACCTGTTTAAAGTAAAGCAGGACTGTAGCCAATAGTACATTGAATGTGAACTAATCTAAAAAAACCATTTTTTGAATTTACGTATGGGAGAATCACCTTTGCTGAGTGAATGTTTGCTGACAGCCTGAAAGATTTACTGAGAAATTAATTTTTCAGGTGCTTGATATCTATTGGAATGAGACCCATGATTTACAAGATGACTTTGGATTCTCAGAGAGCTATGCATCAGTACACAGATATATAAAGTAAATTCCTATTTTATATATGAGTACCTCTAATTTTTAAATTCTAGAATATATTCACCAAAGCATTCACTCTGCAAACACATCTTTGGTATTCTGTGTACTGAGTGCTAAAATAGGCTGACCACATCTTCTAACTTAAGGCAAAGTCATGAAATAAATTCTCCAATGAAATCTGAGTAATGTGCATTTGAAAGAGCCTCAGCAGACAATAGTGGAATTGTATTGACAAATCAAATAAAAATAGGGAGATGTAAATCAATGAAATGTTCTAGTTTATATTAAGAATGTAACTGTTTTTAAAGGCCAAGATTAAAAGAAATAGGTTGGGCATTTTGTAGCTGTAAAAGGCCTGGGTGAAAAAGACTGATACGTCATACTCATCTGATCAGTTCTCATCTCACCCGGTTTTGAACTATTAATTAAAAGCATACATACTTTAAAATGCCTTCTGCTAGTTGTAGTATACCGTGAAAAGGATAAATGACATGCCTCTATATTTGTGCCGGAGCAGGGCCTTGGTAACTCCCACTCATGATGTGCTCCATCCCTCCTCTGGATAACTAAAAAAAATTCCTTGAGTTTTTTATATATCTTACCCTTCTTGGGCAGACTCAACTGGTTTATTAGAGAGAAGATGAAAAGTAATATTTTACTTCTTGAAAGGAATTAATCCCATGGAAATTGTAATAGAATTATAGATACATATAAATTACTGTAACCATCATTTTACTGGGAAGGGAGAGCCAAAGTTATGTAATATATGTTTCTAGCTAACCAGTTGTGCAAGAAGCCTTAAGACTAAAATATGTGTCTTTCTTTCTTTGTGATGAAATGTTTTGCTGAACCTCTAGCAGAACCAGGGAATCCTAACAAGCAGTGAATAAAGAATTAAAAAAAAAAAAGAAAAAAGGCAGGCCTGCACATAGCATTTTGGAGATGTTTTGTTTGACAACAAAATGTTTCAAAAGGCTGTGTGTGTTGTTTAAAGTCAGGACAAAGCTCTAAAAGATGAAATCTTTTCTGTCAATGTGTTGTTTGCTAAAAGATGCATCCCATTGCAATCTAATTTTGAAAATCGGTTTTGCATAAATGTCCATGTTGTGTGAGTTGGACACTCGACTGTAATATTGGAATGAGTGTTTTCAACATCAGGAGGTTTATTTGAAATAAAATTCTGCCTCATTACCTTTTGTAAAAATCATTCTATCCTACAATTAGCTTGTGCTTCCAATATTTGCACTGCAGTGTTACCCTTTTATATACTTTGAGAATCAATTTGATACAAGAAGAATAGTCTAAACCAATCTTTAAATATGTGACTTGGGCTATTTGTACTGAATATATATTTGATGGGTGAGTAAAGGTTCACCCTTCATACATACAATTTCCTTATACAAAATTATTACTATGTATAATATAATTGCTGTATTTTTCAGGTGAAGCAAGAAATGGAAAGTCTTGTTCAAAACAAAGGTGTCAACTCCTTCAAGATGTTTATGGCCTATAAAGATATATACATGGTCAATGATGAGGAGCTATATGAAGCCTTTTCCTGCTGTAAGGAACTTGGGGCAGTTGCTCAAGTCCATGCGGAGAATGGGGAGCTAATTGCACAGGTGCACATTTGACATTCTGTCCATCAAAGTCAGGAATATAGATGGTCCTAGCCCTAGGTCTCTCCAGACATAGTCAGCTCATGTAACAGGAGCAGATCCAGAAGTATGGAGAAAGCTTCACTGACTGGGCACAGCAGTCTCAACATCCCTCTATGCATAGTTAGCTTCACTTCATACTTGCCACTGTCACCTTAGTGCTGCGTGGAGGCACTGAGAGCTCTGGGCCCCTGAGGGTATAACTACTCTGGTAATACTCGACATCAGTGGTGACTACAGTGGCTGTAATAAAATAGTTTCTTCAACTATTCCAGTCAACAGCGCTTTGACTCTGCCCCATGTCCAATAAGGGAAAGTAATTCATCCCTAAATAATATCAAATCAGCAGACCTTAAATTCCTGGAACAGTGTAGGGACAGAACCTTTTTGCCTCTTAAAGCCTCTTTGTCTCTTGGAGTTTTCAGAGGTTCTGGATATGCATCTTTGTGCTTAGTAAGAATTTTTCCTTTTTTTCCCTCAGTGAGGGTTAGTAGCATCATGGGACATCATTTGCCATGATATTTAAGTGTACATATTGAGAGAGGGGTAGGGTTTTCAAGAGCAGTGATTTAATCCTGCAAGTCAGTGAAGTGTGTTCTCTGAATTTACTTAAATATTCTGAGACCTGAGTTTATTGAGAGATGTATTAGATTTCAGATAAAACTACAGTAACTTCTTTTGGAAAAAAATCACAACTGCCTAGTTATTTTTTTCCCTTGAACGGGCTGCAATGGCTGCTTCAGAGTCCACTTTACTGGCAGCATGCTCATGACAACATAGATACATTTTAACTGACTCTTGCATGGCTTTTGTGTGGTCTTCAGGGCGCAAAGAAGATGCTGGCAATGGGAATAACCGGCCCTGAGGGTCACGAACTGTGTCGTCCTGAAGAAGTGGAAGCTGAAGCTACACAAAGAGCGATTACCATAGCAAATGCTGTGAACTGCCCCCTTTATGTAGTCCACGTAATGAGTAAATCTTCAGCAAAGGTGATAAGTAATGCACGAAGGGAAGGTAAAAGTCCTGATTCTTTTGTGCTTGGACAATGGCATTGGGGGAAGGGTCATGGAAAACCAAACACAGCATTAGTGTCTTAATTTTATGGGTGTTATAAGCCTTAGATCATGGGTGAATTTCTAAATTTTGTGTGTGTCTGTCTGTCTGTCTGTCTGTATATTGTTGGGCTCAAGGGGAGCAGTGTGTAAGAACAGCAACCAGAACTGAGACCTTCCCTTCTCCCCAGAGCAAACTCTTTTCTCTTAGTACTGTACCTCCAAGGTGAAAGTGATGGCCAGGACAGCATTATTTCATTAAAAATTATGTGACCGGTTCAAGACAATAAATAATCTACTGTTCTTTTCTATCAAGCTTGTCTGCAAGACTTTACCAAATATCTTGATGAGAAATTCTATAAAAGAGACCACACCATATTTTTACAGGCAGTGCCATGACTCCTATTTACTGGGCATTTAACTGTCATGGTGGAGATGACTGTCTGAAAGCCTTGATTCCCACCAGTGCCGAGCTGTTCAGGTTTGCACTGCAGTGTTCACAAATACCTCTGGTCAGCCTGATTTTCCTGACCATCTGTTAGGTAGACTACAAGTAGCCTGAAGGCCGTAGGTATTCAGGATGTTTTATCTCCTCACCTGTAAATTAATCCAGAGCAGCACGTGGAACAGCACTGTGAGGAGACATTATCAAGGTGGAAGGAGCAGGACAGGAGCCCAAGATTTGGAGGACTTAAAATTATGTGTCCTCATTATCTTTTTGAATATTTTTTGCTATGTTTTTACATATTTGCATTTACAGCTTGTTTTCACCTGACTTGGTATGAATTTCATATAGACATCAGTTTCACTATTTCTTGTGTTAAGATAATGCCTACACAGGGGGCACAGATTATTAATATTAAAATGTACAGTATGAGATCATAATAAAACAAAACAGTGTGATGTCATTATACTAATAGAGATGGATATGTTTATGCACAATATGTATGACCATGACTTCTAGTAAGATTTAGCAGTAATTCAGGTTTGTAAAAGAGTTTACCAGAATATATTTTATTGGCACATTTTCTACTGTGCTATATTTGATTCCTCCACTAGATGCCAGTGCTGCCAGGAATGTGGATTATGTCCATTGGTTGGTTGTACATTCACAGGCATTGTGTGAACATTAACTACAAGTTATGACAACAGTTAAAATACCCAGATAAAAGATGAAAAACTGGCTGTGAAGACCTAAGCCGGTGTTTTATAATACACTGTTCAAGTAAAGAATTTTGTGCTGACAGTAAATACCGTGAAACATTGATTAGGCACGTGTTGTAAGACGTCTGCAGTGCCAGTTTGATTACTGAGGATCGACGTATGCTTTTCCAATATATATTAAGAAAAAATTGGGAGAATTGATGCACATTGTTGTGCAAATTGCATTTTATAGCCTCCTGGGCTGCTGCAGTAAGATTCACCAATGCTTTCCTTTGTGCACAGCAACATATAACATATTTTCATGAGTCATATTGATCTGCATAGAAGTATACTCTTTAGAAAAAAGAAATCTAAGATCGATTGAGAAATTTCAAAAGATAACTAGAGTGCCACAAAGGAAGTTACAAGTATTGTAGTTTTTAATGAGATTGATCTGTATGAATTTTGGTAATTGGAAATTCTCTACTGTTGGTTTTAGTAGAAGTTATTTTTCATTTTTTATTAAAGAGTGGTAATAAAAAGCAAGGATTTCCAGACCAAAAAACCCCTAAATTCTCAAAGTATTATATGAATGACATAAATAAAACTCAAATATTTTGATGAAAGATATTCAATTTGGACAAGTTAAAAAACGCTCTAATGTGAACATTGTGTAAACTCTTAAATATTGGAAGCTTCTCAAGCATTTGATTTGAAATATTCACTCCAAAAGCAGTTTATGCATCTTTTCAAGATCATTTCTCCATGTCTTGATGCTAGCTTCCTGCTATTCACAATTGTGAAACTTTTCATGTTACTTTTCAAGCACTTAGCATGAAATAAAAAGTGTGTGTGCATATTCATCTCTGCCCATGTCAGAGGAAGACTGATATCCCTTCCAATTCCATCACTGACCTCAGAAGGGGAAAAACAGATCTTCAGTGAGTGAAATCTATTTTCTGTTTGACAGTGTGATACCAAAATTGAATTGCAATTGCATTGCTTCCCAAATTCTATGGGATAGTGATTTTCCTAGTCAAAAATGTAAGTCATAGCCCAACTCTTCCTTTTCACTCATTTAGCTATACAAGGTGAGAGCTAATATTATAGGCTGAAGGCCTGATAGAGCTTGCTCTAGACAGTAGGCATAATTCTGTTGTCTTCAGTGAGCTATGGCTCAGACCTTGAAGGCTAAAATCAGTCATGCACATTGTAAAGGAACAGCAGTTCTTATTCTAGATTAAGCAAACTTTAAGGGAATGAGGTAAGCAAAAGTCTTTCCTTCTCTCTCCCATGCCAGAGTTCACCATCTATGTCTGCTCTGATCTCCAGCAACAACACTCAAGGAAGGAAACCTCCAGATTATAGCAGCATGTTTTTCATGTACATCTGTAATAGCTGCTGAATATTCAACAGGGAATCCAAAATTCCACATTGTGACCATGTTGGAGAGGAACAGGCTAACTCATGCCCCCCCATCCTGTTATTTTTGAGGGACCCTACCAGCCTGTTTGCCAAAAGCAATGGTTCATCAGTTCTCCACTGAGAGGATCAAAGACAGCACCTCTGTGAGAGCAGCAGTGTGTGACAGCACCTCTGTCCTTGCTTGTCTCAGTGGGCTGTTTCTTCATCTCTGTGCAAAATATGGCCTTCAATCTGGACAGAGTAGGTAGAGGAACTGTATTCTTCTACAGAAGGGCGGTTGATATATTTGTGTGCGTGACACTCTCATTGCCATAAGTGGGAAGACAAAAGGGATTATCTTCTTGCTATTGTGCAAAATCTTCCCTCCAGTGAGAATAAAAGGTTGTAGAGCTCTCATGTCAGGCGTGCAGCTCCTTCTCCTTATTAGGATTACCTGATGTGAACTTAAGGAGTTGCCTTGTCACGCACTCCAGCCGCCAGAAATGCTGTGGAGAGAGCAAGGCTAATAAAATGTGATTTAGGGGTACATGATTTACACCGTCTCCCCCTAAAAAATGCTTTCAATCTAAGCTAAATCTCAGCTAAAGCTGGAGACCATAGAATAGTGTCCCTTCCAATAAGGTCCCTTCCAGCCCATGGTGGTTTGGGTTGGAAGGGACCTTAAGGATCATCCAGTGTGATGATTAAAGTTCATGTCCCTTTCCTCATTTAATGTGATGCTACTGCCAGGAAATGGGACTTTCTAGTGGAAACCTGGAGAGAACAATCTTACTGAAAAAGTAATTTTTTTATAAAAGTTTCTTCTTTTAAAAAAGTGCATAGAAAAATATGTCCTTGGCCAGATTCTAAGAAGCTTATTAAGGCTTACAGAATTGCTTCCTACCAACAGTCATGGGTTATGTCTCTTCTTAGTGAGAGAAAAGGCATGTCCATTGCTGAGGGAATACAAGCTCTCAAGCTGATTCTGAGCACAGGAATGCAACTAAAAATGTCAACTTTTTAGCTGTCTCATGCAGGACAGCTCAGGTCCAGGCTGTATATAGCCTAATGGATGCAATGCTATCCCTGATTCAGTAAACCCTGCCTTGCAGTTCTGCTCTTTTCAGAGCATAGCTTGTGAGTATCTTTGCCCCATATGACCTTATCTTAAGTGCTTCTAAAATTTCTACAAGAATAAGAACATACGGACCAGTTTTTCAATTCTGTAAATGTTTTTTGTTGGTGTTTATCAGTATTTCAACTCTTTTTGAGTTCCGGTAGGTGGTACAAAAATAGCAATTGAATGCTCTTCTTTTTGATAAAGTAATCTATTAAAAATAGCTCTGGCTAGCCAGTTAGGCCACCTGATAAAACATCACCAAATGCACAGCTGTTTACCAGATGCTCAGAGGTGTCAGGAAGACCAAACAGCAGAACACTTAGTGTTCCTTTTTTTAATTGAATGCTGGAAAATATAACAATTTGAAAGACATGATTTATTACTGCATTACTTCACTTTTATGCCTATAGGCAGAAGTCAATCAAGCTAGAAGAACCTTAATGCAGAATTTCCTTGTTGCCAGTTCAGCTGAAAGAGCCTTAGTGCAGAATTTTGTTTTTACTAGTTTTAAAGCAGAATCTTGACATTACTGTATCCTTCAGGCTGGCTTGTCATGGCCCAAGTGAAATGCAAGAAATTGCACATTCAGCAGAACTGTCCAGAGGTAGTCTGTTGAAACTGCAGTGCTCAGACTCAAAATCACTTGAGGGAATAACTTCTACTCCTCCCCACTCATGGGAACAAAGGGAGCTGGTCAGCTCAAACTCTGACTGCAGAAACACTGTCATCAGCTATGGTACATGAGCTAGAATCAGTTCAGCATATCTAACTGCGAGCTTGGAAACTTCTTTTCATTTTCATGTGGTGAAACTATGATGAGAAAATTATTTTCCTATTATTCTCTGAAGTATTTATTAAGAAAAAATTTATTATTTTCCTGCAATTTTAATTTTAATAATTTGTAGCTATGTCCTAATGATTCATAGCTGAGGTTTACTTTGGATGAAAGCTTCTTTAGCTTGTTTAAATGCAGTAAAAGAGACACAAACCACACTTCCCCTCCGTCCCCTTTCTTGTGGCTTTGAAAATAAAAAATCTGCCAAACAACTAATAGGTAAATACGACAGATTGGTTACATATACCAGACCTTCTCTATATACATCTAGATTGGTGGCAGCCTACCTAAAATACAATATTTGGAGTTGGCCAGGAAAGGCCAAGGGTTCCTGCAAAAGGCAGGGAAGACCTCGATCAGGAACCCTCAGGATCACGTTTCATCCTGATTTCATCCATTCTCTTGGTTTTATCCATGTCTGTTCTCTGGGTTTCCCCATTCAGCTCTGAATTAAGAAAACACTAATCTGCTCAAATCTCCTCATCAGTGAGTGATCATATCACTTCCATGCATGGCCTCATAGTCACTGCTTTTAAGTTCTGAAAATAAGATGTAAAAAAAACAGTAAATAATTGCCAAAATAGTGTTTTCAAGTCTAAAAAATGGTGGTCTCCCTCTGAGCTCAAGTATTAATCTATAATATATGTAGCTAAGTGGGACTGAGAACTTAGAATGCTCCAAGCCAAAGCATCAATATGAGACATGCACATTGAGAATGTCAGAGTACACTGAAGTGATGGTAACAAATTAGTAATTTAGGCTGTGGACAAAGTTGCTCTAGGTAGTATTTGGAATAAATGTACAATACACTAACACCAAATCAGACTGTGACACCACATAGAGATAAAATTGTATGAGGCCTTTTAGCAAATCTAGCACCAAAGATTTCAGGAATGGCACTATTGCAATGAGAAATGTATTTTGAAAATAATTGAATCCTCAGTAGGATGCCAGTGCAGGAGTTACAATGCAGCAGCTCACAGAAGTAGCAGTCTAATGTACAGAGAGAGACCTGCAAAGCTTTGCTTTTTGTATTCCACAGTACCATGACTGCATGACTTACACTCAGAAAGTCAGAGAAAGGTCACAGTGTTGTACTACCAAGCAATCACCAGCTGTGGCCTTGCTGGGGCAATGCAGTGATGGTTCCAATAAAAATTGTGCCTGGAGTGAAATCTGGCATCCAATGCAAAATACCCACTGTCTGTAGGGATCAGGGGAGAGAGAAGGCTGCTGCTGGGACCCAGCAGAGGCTGTGTTTAATTGGCACCAAGTGGCCTCTGAGTGGGTGTGGGAGGTCCCAGCTCATTCTGGTTCTTTAGTGACCTTTGCAGTTGGAGGCATTTCCACCTGTCAGCTGCAGAACTGCAAAGTGTCTGGAGCACTCGCTCAGGGAGTGAAACATCTTTTTCTGATGAGTTTCAAATCCACGTTTCCCAGGAGAAAAAAGTAGTTAAATATGCTAGTTCTGTCCAAAGGCTAACAGCCAGTCTAGGTTGGTGTCCTCTTCTGAGGAAAATAGGATACTGTGCAGCGAAGGATAAAAGATTAACATTTGGGAGATAACTTTTAAAATTAAGTTATTTATAGTTTTTGATTTGGGAAATCTTTCTATACTTTCTGGTTTATGTCTCCTGCCATATTGTTCTTCCTGGCATAATTGTAGCCTGACAATTAAAAGTGCCACCTTGCAAAGTCTGTGTGGTGTATATATTAACTGACACTGTTATGTAGTCAGTAATTTCAGAGCACCAAACAGGTACTACCAAGTACATGAATCTTAAACATAATTAATGCAACTGAGGACTGCTTTCTTTTTGAAATCTCAATCACATTCCTAGTAAACAATGTGTAAAACTCATCATAGTATATCTATCAACAATTTAATTAAAAAACTTCCCCAAGCAATGTTCTTAGGAGAAAATATATTGGGAAATCACTAGCAGAAAATTCAGAACAAAGATGCTGTGTTATAGCTTAGTTTATTATGTCCTTCCATATGTAGGTGCTTAATTTGAAACACTCATTCAAATTTAAATTCATTGCCACCAAAAAGATCCTTCACAGAGAAAATACAAGTTATGCATTTTTATGTTGTTTGATGATGATACCTTTGCTTTACATTTTTCAGGAAAGGTGGTTTATGGGGAGCCTATTGCTGCAAGTCTTGGCACTGATGGCACCAACTACTGGAATAAAGACTGGGCTCATGCTGCAGCATATGTGATGGGACCCCCACTGAGACCAGATCCATCTACTCCTGGTTTCCTCATGAACTTACTGGCCAAGTGAGCAGATGAATAAACAGTGACCACTGATACCAAAATGCACAGCAGATTTTGTCAAGAGTACCTAATAGCAGGCTGATGCTCTGGAGATTTTCTAAGTACAGAGTGTTACATTATCAAAAAGGAGAAATGGAGGGTGAAATCACAGATGAAAAGAATTTCTCTTTTCATATTTTATTTCTCGGAACTCTTACAGCCTACTGTCCACATATAATTTCATTCAGTAAGCCTTGCCTTGCTCATACCACAGCAAAAATTGTAACATGACCAGGAAGACAGGCTGTAAGTCAGTGGGAAATATGTCAAAGGTGAGGTCACAGCTAGATTTTTCTGGGGTTTGCTGTCAGCTGCCTTTTTCACTTGAAATTCAAATGCTGCATAAAATTAAGCCTGCTAACTTCTGAAGGTACATGTAAGATATTCACTTCAAAATTTCTACTTCAGAAGGATGTAGAAAAAGAAGTATCTTTAGGATATCTGCACTTAACAAGATGTGTGGTTTGCTGGTATTTCATTACCAGTAAGGGTTAACTCCACAAAAGGGTTGAACTTGACAGAAGAGCCTGTAAAGGTGTTCCTGAACACAGGCTAACTGATGTGCAGATCCATAGTAATTTCAGAGGTCATATGGAGTGACACAGACTGGGGAATTTCATTTCGCAGTGTGAGGATGAAACAAAGCTGCTTGCTCTGGGCAAACTGGGCAGTTCCCCCATACATGGGATGTCTTTGACATATCCAGAGTAAAAGAGTCAGTGTTGGTGCTTGTTTTCTTCTGAGGGGTTTCTGAAGAGGAAACTGCTTCACAGGGCAACTGGCTGTTACTGTGGAGCCAGTCTTGGAAGATGGGACTGAGGGCAGGCTGGCAGGGCATATCAGTTTTTGTCTTGAAGGATGAATGTCTTGGTCAACCCAGCCTTACAACAGGTTTTCCTCTGTACTGTCTGGTACATGCTCTGATTCATAATGAATTTGTTTCTCTGCAGTGGTGACCTATCTGTGACAGGGACTGACAATTGCACCTTTGACATTTGTCAGAAAGCTCTGGGCAAAGATGACTTCACAAAAATCCCTAATGGAGTGAATGGTGTGGAGGATAGGATGTCAGTCATATGGGAAAAAGGCGTTGTAAGTATATCAAAATGTCCAAACATAGAGGTAATTCATTTCTCCCACAAAACATAATCTCTCAGCAAGTATTAACTCTTGAGTTTTATCAAGCATGTTTATCATAACTCATTCAATTGAAAGCTATAACAGTCCTTATTAGCTCTCACTTTATTTATTTATATTATATTTATTTATTTATATTTAAACACCAAGAAGATTCTTAGTGTTTAAAGTATTTGACTAAAGAATCATTTTTATTGTTTAACAGTAAGGCATTGCTATTGTTTCAGTGGTACTGCAAGTATATTTCCTTGAAGCATTTTTTTCAGCTTGTGAAATGAAAATAAAAGAGGTGCTTACAGTTTCAACTCTATCAGCTGTGTATTTTTTCCTTTTTGATCTCTCTCCAACTTGGCCATTGGAGGAGTTGCACAGTGCTGTGCCTGTCAACTTCTAATTTATGTTTTAAGAAATGCTTTTCTAATGTGACAAGATGAAATGAGCATTTTCAAGTCCCACTGACTTCAGATTCTCGTACCAACACAAGAAGGGTCAGTGCTTCTCAGACAATGTCTGATGAGGGGGGAGGTAAGGAAATCTCTTGAGGAATCTGCTGCATAGTAGGTGTCATGATTGCTCTGGCTAATGCATAACTGTTATGTTCTGGTTCTATTGAAGTTCTCTTGCAGTAGTGAAGTCATGTTGATAATGCACTGTGAAGCATATTCATTTGTCACAGTATAATTACCTGCCTCACACACTTGGTAAGAATGTGGTTCATGATATCTCTTGCGTATCTGTAGTTGGGATTCAGTTCCAGCTGGTAAGTACAAAACTCACACACTTGTGCCTATACTCACCTGTGGCACAGCTCTGGTGAGATTTCTTATGGGGTAAACAGAAATCTAGCTTGGGCTCATGTGAAACTGAGACATGAATGTGTTCATCAGTGCTGATTTTGAACAGTGCATCATGTAGGGCAAGATAATTTTTAAAATGTTCTTCAATTGATATTAACCTCCCTTTTTTCATTTGTAAAATAGTACACAGCTGTGTGAGTTTGTTTGAATACCTTCCCTCTCTTCCAACACACCATTACTTAGAAAAGCAGTGTTCACCATTTTCATTATACTTTTCTTCTCAGATGACTGCACACAGACCACCATAAAGATGCTTTTATGACAGTCTGATTCCCAGACTGATCTGTGCACAATATTACTGCCAGTGTAGGTGGCTTTCCAAACAAACAAGAGTCATGGAAGCTGGATTAAATTAGTTACACAGCAGTGGACAGTCCCAAGATACATGTATATTCATTGTTGTTTGGTATTTTGCTGAAATGTCACGTCAGCAATCTGTTTTTTATACTACTTCATTTCACATCAGTTACTGATCACTGCTATACTCTGTGTCATCGCTAAAAAAATCCGCAAATCAGTTTTCCTATATTACATATTGTACCTTGCCTTGCCTTATCACCTTCTAGGCTCCCCTTGATACTGTGTCACCATTTTTAAAACCAAGATACTCAAGAGATATTATGTTTCCTGAGGAAATTGATGAGCAGGGCTACAGATTTAAAGCCAGCTAAAACATTTGATTTCAGTTGACTTGAGGCTGGATCCACAGAGTGTTTCATTTAAAGCTGTCTTTTTTTTTCTCTTTGCTGTGGGATAAAGTAAGATAAAGTTACTGTATTTAGTGAAAGTACATTGCATTATGGGCATCTGAAACAAATAGTTACTTTTACTTCTAAATTCTTCAGTATGAGCTTTTAAAAAATGATGGATGTTACTCATCCTAGTTTTTCAACAAGAAGAACATTTTTTCATTCCATGTTTAAAAAAAGTAATGAGTTTTCTTTTGTGTACTGTTTTGCAGCACAGTGGAAAAATGGATGAAAACAGATTTGTAGCTGTTACCAGCACAAATGCAGCAAAAATCTTTAACCTTTACCCAAAGAAGGGCAGAATTGCTGTGGGCTCTGATGCTGACATTGTAATTTGGGATCCTAAAGCTACAAGGTATGCATGGGAAGTTGTTCACCCCCCCCCC